TTAGGGTCTGAATCTCTATCATTAATTTTATTTCGATTGCCCAATAAATTGTAAGCCAACTGTGGTTTAAAATGTCTGCAACAGAACTTATTGGTAAAGGTGTTAATGCAAAACTTCACAACACACTAACACTCAGACTATGTGCTTAAAATGCATGAGCTTTGTAATTTCAGCACAATAAAACCAAACAGATAGAAAAAGAGACCTCCTTGCTCCTCACCCTGATCGCTATTAATTCTTTCCATAACCAATATAAACAGTTAATGTCCTTTGTTAGTAGCATTTCCATTGATCAAAGCCTCCAAAGGGAAAAGGATCTCAGAAAAGAAAGGGAAAACGAAGGGAAACTGGGCCATGGGACACTAGCTCTGTCTGAATCATCTTCCAGCATGGTTTAAACACAGCAATCTAGGTCAAATCACATAAATTCATTACCATGCCATTCACACTGCAATTACTCAGGGGGAAAATTGTTAGCAGTGATAATGATCTTGAAATAAATAGAAGAGCAAGAACCAACATATAACAATACGCTCTTTTGTGTTTGGGTGAGGTGGAATGAATGTTTGGCTTCCTGCCCAGCCATCCTGACAAACGTAGTTCATAGTGAAGTCCAGTCATGTGCCTGTTCCTATCACCACCTTCCTCTAGTCTCGAGTTCCTGACATGTCTGCATCTCTTTGCTATGCACTGACTTTCCCCCAATAAGGTGACAGGACAAACACCCCACCCAGTCAGCCCTGGATGACTCACAGACACTGTTTTCACAGGTCAGATGTGTGTGTGTCACTCTCCAGCCAGCCACTAGAGTTCTCCTCTTGTCCTGGCACAAGCAAAATGGATGTTTTTCTTCTAATCAGTTCTCAGAAAGCTTTGTAATATCCCCTTCCATCGGTACAATGCATTTTGATAAAATGGATACATTTTAATAATCAGCTGGTGACTATTTCTTTCAGTATTATACAAAGTATTCCCCCCAAGGATGTGTTCTCAAAATGAGTCTCTTTAAATAAGTCTACATGTTTAATTTATTTTTAATATCACAGACTAACTAATGACTTTTAAAAATACCAAACATCTCAGAAGCAACGTTAAAACATGGGAAGCTACCATCCTCTCTTCCCCGCTCAGTCTGTTCCCCACCGTGAGGAATGTGAAGAATCCTTCTAGATGCCACATTCTGTGCATCCCCATGCATAGTAAACACATCAGCAAGTGTACGCAGGCACAAACAGTGTGACTGTGAAACTAAGTTGATGGAATTATTCTATCCTTTTTTTTCTTAACTACTTTCTGGAGACTTCCTGCCAGTAAGTATAGTGTCAGCCTCAGAGTTCTATTGCCTGACTACAGCACAGTTACTGAAGCCGAGGTGGCTTAAGTGGTGTCCAGCTTGTTTGCTTTGTAAAACAAGCCCCAGTGACAATTCTTCACTTCATGCCCAGGGATCTATTCCAAGCTGTGACATAACAGTCAACAGACAATACTACCATCGAACTGCCATCCATATGGGACACACCGGATTATACTCCACGGTTCTGGTTTCTCATCTAGTGTTTTAGTGTGTGGATATTTGCTGGGAGCTATGATGACATGAAAACAGGAAGTAACAATTGATAGTCAAGGTGTCAACCCACCAGAAATAACTTCTGATCGAGAAAAACTCGTTTGCAAAGTACAGTCCAACTGTCATCCATAAGAGACACAACAGATTACAACAGAACCCCATGGTTCTGGTTTCTCATATAGTATTTGTTGTTGTTGTTGTTTGGGGGAGTTGGGTTTTTGTTTTGTTTTGTTTTGTTTTTTTGAGACAATATTTCTCTGTATAACAGTCCAGGCTGTCCTGGAATTCACTGTATAGACCAGTCTGGCTTCGAACTCACTGAGATCAATCTGACTCTGCCTCCCAAGTGCTGGGACGAAAGTCATGCACCACCATCTAGTGTTTTAAGGGTGGATATTGGTCGCTGGGGTGGGGGTTGGGGAAGAGAGAAAACAACAATCCCTTCAACTGACTTTTTTCCAAAAACCAGTAAAACGTAGCCCCTTTTCAGGGCTTTCTGTTATTTCTGTTTGCCGGTGAATTCCCTGTCATTTCTCTATCCCCTTTTCTTAGTTTATTCTAACTGGTCCACAGAAGCATCACTGTTGTAGCTAGTGACCTACCTGTGATCATTTTCCACTATTTTCCAGCTCTTTCACTTCACTTATTTTTCTTTCTGTCCAGACTTTTCCGTGGCTTGGGCATTTACATGTGGCTTTTGTTCTGCCTTGCCCCACGTTATAAAATGGTCTCCTACATGTCATCACAGTCTTCTACTAGTCGTTTGTCATACCGTCCATCTGTGAGCCCCGTGTCCCACTTCCTTTCTTTGTGCTTCTTACGGGATCTGATTATTTGCGTATCTGTGCAGAAGAATGACTCATCTCTGCAGTGCCTTCTGGGTGCGTCCCAGCTCTCGGCATCGTGTGCTTTTGCTTGGTGTCTGGAAATGGGATCAATTACTTGCCGGTCTCTAGGCAGCCCTCACTGGGGGTCACTTCTCTTCCCTTTTCTCTGTTTGTCACATTTCTAGACGTTGATCCATGTCATGTCTTTTCTCTCATTTTGGTGGAACTGTAGGAGACAGCAAGATCTAAATGCACACGTTCAGTTCACCATCTGAAAGGAAGGTGTCTGCACGTGTGTTTCCTCAGAATCATTCTATGTGAAACAAAATCACATGCAAATCGAACCTTTGAAGAATGCAAACAAAAGCCCAGGGAAACAGCAAAAATCCATCAAAGTGCCACTGCTTCAATAAGCAAAGCTGCTAAACTCAGAGAATCATTTGCAGGGGCTTTAATCCCTGTAGGTGAAAATTTCATTAAATAGTTATGTTTATAAAACTCATATTTTATGAAGAGTAAAACTTGACTTGACTTTATAGAACCATCTGGTCTACCCCATTTGCACATAACTCTTAAAAATGAATAATCAAAGATTTTCCTTAATACACTTATTTTCTGAGAAGGTAATAAATGCCACGATTAAGAACAAATGTCTTTTTTCCATCTCTGACTTCCTGAGACCCATTTTGTCTTCTTAAAAGCAACAATAGTGCCTGACTCTCTGGAGAGAACTGGGTCAGAGGGTATGTGCTCTTCAGGTCTTACGTGTGTGTGTGTGTGTGTGTGTGTGTGTGTGTGTGTGTGTCTGTGTAGGTCTTTGAGGACTACATCTGTCCACTTGAGAGGAAATTACCCTTTAGTGTGTATCGATTGAATCCAAGAAGCTCAGGCTGCACTGATACCATGTCAGTTAGCTCATGAAATGGCTTCCATCATAAACTGTGCATTTCTTTGCCTTGCAGAGACTCTGTTCTGGGGCCCTCTCTTAGCCTTCAGATTAGCAACCAAGCCTCTGATCCCCCACCATGGAGTCAAAGCAGAGCCGTCACCTTTCAGGTTTCCAGCTGCTTCAGCTGCACCTGCAATGTAGCCATATTGCCCACGTTGCCCATACCCATATTTTGTATTGATGAATTTTCTAATAATGCTCCATTTCTTCTGTGAGGTCAATCCCCAATGTGTGGCCAGAGGGAAGGGTGATGTCCCAGGATTCTGCTCAGAGAAGCTGGTGTCCTCCAGTGTCCATCCGTCTGAACTCACGGGCAAGCTGTGTGATGCAGGCCCATCAGCTACCTTCTCTTCAAACCTCAGGCCACCATCATCCGTAGGTGCTGCTCACCTGTCCACCCTGGCCTGTTCTCCCTTTACAGCAGCTCCAGGCCCCAAGCCTGCCACCTCTTCCCTCCAGGCTGCCTGGCCCTCTGTCATGGCTCATAGGGGCATCTGAGGTGACTCCTCACTATACAACCGTTCATGGTCTCCACTCATTAAAAACTCTGCCATTCCCCAGAGCAATGGCGGCTAACCTAACAGCCATGGTCACATGCCTATCCCACAGAACAGACAGCCACCCAAAACTTTGCCTGCCTTTGCCAGGCAAACTTCTAACACACTGAGCTCACAGTCAAGGCTTTCCCTGCCCCTGTTTTCCAGGCTTTCTCTTCTTGCCTGAGCCTGTCCCAGATCAAACCTGACTGTGGCCTTGCCCACTTTCTCTGTCCCTTCCCACTCTGGAAGTTTCCATACAGCCTAAGCTGGTTCTTGCTCCCGGTTTTTCCCGTTTGGTGTGGTGCCGCCTATACAATACTCCCCTCCATCATAACCATCGTGGTAGTGAGAAACTCACATCAGACACCCACTAATTGTATTGACTTTCTTTTCTGGCTGCCATGTCATAGCTATGCTTTATTGGGGTCCTTGTACACAAGCAATGCTTTAGAAACAGGTCATAGTACATTAAGGACACTTACTCAACTTTTATTTCTCAACCTCGTCTTGCTAAAACAAACTCTCTCTCCCCTGGACAGCTGCCTGAGCCACAGGCACCCTGTGCCACCACCCACCCACCTCCTGGCATATCCCAGGCTCACACCCACGTTCCTTTCAGACACCTGGGACTTAAGGTTCTAAGTGGCAGGGTCAGACAGCATTGAAGAATTTCACAGCTGCGACCTGAGCTGCATGTTGTTTGGTTCCTAAACCCTGTAAAAACCTTGCTTGTGCTTGCAAACACACCTGGTTTGGGGAGGTCTCTTACCACTGATTCTGCCCTTTTCAACTCAGAGCATCTGTTTTAACAATCCTGCATCCCGCCTGGGCATGGGACTTTTTCAAAGACATGGGCAGTACTGGGGCGATTGTCCAGTGTCCACTATCCAGTTACCACCTTGCAGGAAAGGACTCCGGACCCATGGGGTGCACAAGGCCCCGTGTGTGCGGGCCCCACCCCCGCAGGCGTGCAGTCCCGCCCTTGGGCTTGGGCTTCAGCCTGCTGGGAATAAACGCCCAAACCTCGCTGAGCTGTGAGCCAGGGACCTGGGTGCCTGAGGCCTAGGAAGTCGGCTTCGCAGTGGTGGCCAGAGAGGAAGCTGTGTGCTGTGTGCTGTGTGCTGTGTGCGAGGTGAGTTGCTTGGGGGAGATCCCAGACTAGGGGGCTGCTCCTAGAGAGGTTACAAAAGCCTCAGGGTGGCCAGACCCAATCATGAGAGTTTAACCCAGGGAAACCTCAGCAGCTGTCGCTGTCTGGGACTAGCACCAAGCCGGCGACAGCAATGTCTGACTCCACCACAGGAGTGGTGTACCAGACAAACCCAGACGTCTTTCCCTTGGGAGTGAACTGCTGGCAGCTTCCGAACAGAGTGATAACCTGCTTGGCATTGTGTTCGTGCATTCTGCCCAGGCCCACACATGCACAACTTCCTCCCTACAACCTCTGGTTCACGCCTCTCGGGAGCTGTGGTCGTCGTCTGCCACGACCATGTCGGTAACCAGGGCAGTATGGCTGCATAGGGACCCTGCACTTGGAAACAAGTGTCACGGGCTTTACTTTGTGCCTGGTTAGCTCAGCTTTGGGGCTGGGGATGAAGACGCCAAGTTTTTTTTCAGCCTGATTAAATGGAATACACTTGTATCCTCCTAAGAAGGAATCATTGCGGTAAAATTATGGTATATATGCACTTTTTGTTTGTCAGTGTACTTAGTTACTATGATGACCTTTCAAGAGTATAGCCAAAGAACATTGATCTACTTGTCCCCACCAATGCCCATCACTGGAAAATTACTGTGCCGCCTCTGGGCCATACTTTCTAGTGAGGCACTCTTGTTCTGATTATGTCCACCTTCTGGAAACTGAGGCAAAGATGGAGGATGATGTGACTAAAAGCCAGCCAACTCTTCCAAATTTTGTTCCCTAGATGACATTTGCGTGCAGGCTGATGCCTACCTTTATTTCTTTGTAATTCGTCCAAATGGTTTTGAAGACTAGTAGTGGCCATGCGCTGCTCATACTCACACCTGCGGCCCCCAGGGCAGTAGCATTTGTATAAACATTATTAGCATCTTAGAGAACTGAGATATCAGCAATGAAATAATTCTGGTCAAAGTTGCCAAGTAAGACAGTGACAGATGTAGCATCCCAGCCCAAATATTAGTCTCTGTCCTCACTGCACATGAGTACAAAGAAGACACCCTAAATTGGACACAGGGGCTACTACATGCTACCAGGCTCCTAAGAACCTAGGATACATCTGCAAAGACAGGGAAAAGGCAGCCCTTGTTCCAGGGTTTGCCTCATCCTGACACTTCCCCCACAGAGCTAAAGACACGGAGCAGAGCTCTGTCTCCTGGCAGATCACATGACGTGGGGTCACCTGCTGTATGTTCCCTATAGGAAGAATAATGGAAATGGGATGCTGAGTTGTAGGAAGGATGACCAGAGTGTCCCTTCACTATGTGCAAAATTTGGTATATACTCTGACAGGGCCGCAGGTGTTTTCCCTGTGACTGTGTATTAAAATGGGAGTCTTCCTTCAAGATGTCATCACAGATTGCCTCCTCGAAGGCCTTGATCAATCATCCAAAAGTTACTCTGGAAATAAATCAGAGCAAAACTGGCAGATGTTTGAGTCATTGCATCCAAAGTAGAGTAAAGCTCAGTGTTGAACCACAGATAAGAACTTCAGACCCTCCCAAGAGTCTTTTTACACCCCCCCCCCCCGGAAAAGCCCCAGGTACACAGATCTACCTTAAGACCTACCAAGTATTGCCCGATCTCTGATGCCTGCTGCCCATCATTAGGAGGGTCAGTCCCCAGCCATCACTGCCCATCATTGAGAGGGTCAGTCCCCAGCCATCACTGCCCATCATTGAGAGGGTCAGTCCCCAGCCATCATTGCCCATCATTGGGAGGGTCAGTCCCCAGCCATCACCGCCCATCATTGGGAGGGTCAGTCCCCAGCCATCACTGCCCATCATTGGGAGGGTCAGTCCCCAGCAATCACTGCCCATCATTGGGAGAGTCAGTCCCCAGCCATCCTTCCCTCTTGCTTCTTTGCAGCGTGGATCAAGCCTTCCACCACCTAGAACTTTTCTTTATGACACTATTGCTTGTGATGATTCAATTATGTGCTTGCAGACTCTTTCCTCACCTTCTAGGTGAGTTGGGTCCCCGGTGCTGAGGTTATGAGAAAACCAAGTCCCAGCTCCAGAGCAGAGAACCTGCTGGAGCTGCTACTTGGTAAGATTAACATGGAATCAGCCTAGCACTATACTAACACAGTGACCTTGGACGGGTCCTGAATACATTCTCTTTATCTGTCAGTCTTATCTGCAGAACAAGCCAGGAACTAGTTTAGGCCATTCCAATTTTGTGTTAAACCTTCAAAAACTGACCTAGACCACCCATTATCATTAACAGCACTTAGTTGGTCGTCTGCCAACCAGCAAAGTAATAGCCTGCTACTCTCTGTCTTTCTGTCTCTGGAAACCTGTACCTGTACCGAGCCTCTCAGTAGAACATATTGCTCAGGGAAGCCCTTCACCCCTTCACAAAAACCTGCTGGGAGCCTTTTTGGTGATATGCACTATGTACCCAAGAAAACTAATACCATATGCAAAAGACTCTGTGTGAGCCAGAGCTATGATAAAGCATAGAGCATCCCCATCTTAGACACAGAACCTCCCTAAGACCTAAGCCTGGTAAAGAGGAGAGAGAGGTTCAGAGAAGACACCCAAATCTGTCTCACAAAATCTGTAAGTGAAGGGAGTTGACTGATGGGGCCTCCGCCTTGGGAAGGGACTTGGAGTGTTGATGCAAAACCAGTCACTTCAGAGACTTTATGCAGACAAGGTTTTATAACTCTGTCTTTTATGTTAATCTCTTTTGCTCTTATGCCAGGGATAAGATAGAAGTCACCTACTAGCAAGCACTCCTGCACCGAACTAAATCTCTAGCCTTCAAATATTAAATTACATCACCAAATGAAAGAACTGCATGGCAAATGAGAAAGAAAAAACCTAAAAGGAGATTTAAAAAAAAAAAAAAAAAAAAGGTTAACGCACTAAGAGTTACAGCATACACATCCTGATCTGACAGAATCATTGTACATCGCATCAGGACGCGTAGTTAGTAAGGCAAAGGTTAACTAGAAAGAGATGCTGGCATGCCCCTTGGGTGAGGTGGTTCCAGTTGCCAATTAACAGGCACTGTTGTTGTGTGACACATTGCTGGCGTGCAGATCTGAATGGAACGTATGTGAAAGTTGTACACTGTGCTCAGTGTCAGCTACTGGAGAGAACATTTACACCACGTTCTCAGCACTCCCCTTCAGAGAGGGGAACTGAGCAAACTCTCTCTTGCCTTAAAGGTGGTGGCCAGAACATGTCTTCCAACCTGGAATCCGTGAAGGACACGCTTGTTTTCTTAGGAAAGTCACTGCTTAGTATTCTGGAGGCCCTACTTTTTCAAGTGTTCCCAAAGCCACAGAAGAATGTTGCTGGTGAAATAGTCCTCATAACAGGTGCTGGGAGTGGACTCGGAAGGCTCTTAGCCTTGCAGTTTGCCCGCCTGGGATCAGTGCTCGTCCTCTGGGATGTGAATAAGGAGGCAAATGAGAAGACCCTCCAGGAAGCTCGGGAAGCAGGAGCCACCAGAGCTCATGCCTACACTTGTGACTGCAGCCACAAGGAGGAAGTGTACAGAGTGGCCGACCAGGTACGTCTGGGGATCTCATTGCTTTTTGCGGGTTGTGAGAATCCTATGCAATTACGTTGGCGTGCATCAGTTTTGTTCGTTGGCCCGTCTGCCTCAGTGCCTTCCAATTGTCTCCGATATCCCTCTACTTTAAAAAATAATCTTGGGGAATACAACTTAGGAGTTTTTCATTCTTATTGTATACAAACTGTTATGCTAGAAAGCCTATGATGGCACTATAGGGTAAATTATTACCCCTCTTGGGAAACAGGAACAGTGACCCTGTGCGGGCATGAAGTTTACTTTAGGAAAAGCTGACAGTTAACGAAGGTATGGCCAGGACTTGAGATTCTTGATTCCCTGTGTGGCACTCCGTGCTCTGGATCACACCCCTACCGCATGCAACTGCATTACTGGAAGCATCTTTGCTGGGTCAGAAACAGATGTCAAGCACTTCGTCCAAGATCAAATAGGTAGTCTATGTGCACCCTGTTTAGTCTGAGCTAAACCCAGGCTATGTCCCCCTCCCTCCATTACTTCCTCAGAACAGGTGTTTTTCACAGGAAATCCTAATCTTATCCTGAGATCGTGTATTTGGGTTTTGGTGGTAGTGAGACTTGAACCCAGGACCTTGTTGCTTATGAGGCATTTGCTCTAGCACACAAATCCTCTAAACCAGCAGTTCTCTTCTCAGGGGTGGAACAACCTTTCCACGGGTGTTGCATATCAGTTACATTGCCATTCAGAACAAAGACAAAATCACAGTCATGAAGTAGCAATGAAAATAATTTTATGGTTGGGGGTCAGCACAACATGAGGAAGAGTATTAAAGGGTCTCAGCATTAGAAATGGCGAGAACAACTGCTCTAAATGCTTCTTTGGTAATAACAGAGTGGACTTTTAAAGTTTCAGGAAACTGAAACTCTGCATATTGGCAGAGAGGCTGCTACCTCATCCAGGGATGTATATACCACATCCCTATACCCACTCTGTGATGTGTAAACCACACACCAATCTCCCAGACCAATTTAGTGGAAAGGGAGAAGCCAAGCCAGTTTGATCCAACAGCCTTTCTACTTCCCATCTTTCTCACAAGTAATTCCAATTACAGGCTGTCTGATGCTGACTGAGGATCCAAACCTGTTAAACTCACTCAGGTTTACTCTGAGACCACATCCCAAGTGCAGCCAACTGGCCATCTACACCTGTTTACCTATGAAGCATCTATCACCTAACATGTCGACTTGCTCTAACTACACTTCTCTACCCAGGCTACAGCAGTCGTGAGTTTATGTGCATACACTGAAAACCTTTGTCTTAATGGCAAATTTATATAGGATCTGTAAATAATTACTTCCCTATCTCTGTCCCAGCTGGTTGACTTCTGAAATGGTCTGCCATGCCATAGTCTAGCTTGTTGTTCACCTTTTGTCACTTTGTGGTCTTGAAGAGTATTGACAATGTGTTCTTCTGCATTTAGGACAAACAACTTTACTTATAAACTGACATACTACTTATCCTAGATAGCAGGAAACTAGGCATCAACCTCCCTGTGGAGAATGGGAGGGTGGTCAGAGGGCATGGAAGAGGGAGGGAGGGATGGAGGGGGAGGGAGAGGGAGGGAGAGAGAGAGGGAACATGACTAAGGATCAAAATTTGAAGTGGTACCTAGTGTTTTCTCTCTGCTCAGTCTTGAGTGGCTTTAAGAGTTTGTATCTCAGAATCATAGATTAGCTGTGAGTTTGGAAAGTCCAGTATTACTTCGTGATACATCTGGGTGGCAGGTTATTTTGAACAATAAAACAAGGACAAGCTTGGATTATGCAGTTTTCACTTATCCTTGTAATGTATTTTCCACTATCCATCCTGTCAGGTGCACACACACATTCATACACATATGCACACATATAAACATACCCACATGCATACACATATACACAGACATACACAAACACATAAACACATGAACATGCACACACGCATGCACACACACACACATTCATACACACATGCACACATACAAACATACCCACATGCATACACATATACACAGACATACACAAACACATAAACACATGAACATGCACACATGCATGCACACATACACACACACAGCTGCATACACACAGAGCTACAACAGGAACTACTGTGAGCTTTCTTTATGAAGCCATGGGAACTGCTGTGGTAGCCCTTTCTCAATGGTGATGATCAGGACTGCTAGAATATGGTTCAAATTGCAATGATGAAATTCAGAACACAACCGAACATAGGGACAGTGCCAGCTTTGTCATCATCCTGCAGAGGCTCGCATGCACTAGGAGCCAAGAGGACCAACTGGAGGCTTGTTAGAGGGGAAAGGTCTACTGTTACACCCAGAGCCCTTCATCCTAAAGTGACAGTGACCAGATGCTGCTTCAAGCTGGAATTTCAGAGACAAACATGACTCACAGACCTTGTTCCTAAAATTTGAAGTGAAGAGAAGAAAGCCAGTCTGTTGAAGAAAACAAGACTGGCAGATTCTAATCTGCCTTGTGTTCAAGATACTCACTATCTTTCTTCCCATTGGCTCCTGCCTTCTCCCTGTCTTTGTGTATGACAGGATGGGGTTGCTATGCTATTTGGTTATATAGAGCTGTTCTTATATCCACCACTTGTCTAAAACGATCTGCTACTTATGCAAAACACAACACAGAGCTACTAGACCGGGTGGTAGGACTAGCTCTAAGGGGAGAAAGAAAGTGGTATTTTAGCATTGGAGTCTTTGCTGGAGAGGAGGGTGAAGAGCCCTGGTAACCTCAGGGGTCCAGTGCAGGGGAGACTCAGCAATGAGCACATGAACACAGCCTGAAGTATGGGTCAAGAGTATATAGATATTGGGAAAGAGAGCGTATACGGAATTACTAGTCTGATGGTGGCACTCTCCTTATCCAATTCAGGTTAAAAAAGAAGTTGGTGATGTCTCTATTCTCATCAATAATGCTGGCATCGTAACAGGCAAGAAGTTCCTTGACTGCCCTGATGAGCTCATGGAAAAGTCACTCGATGTCAATTTCAAAGCACATTTATGGGTGATTGTTTTTTTTTTTTTTTATTCTCTACTATGTGCAAACTTATTCTGACATTCAAAGTATTTTTCTCTTGCTCTGTAACAATATTAAATAAAACACACATCTTAATCACGGGGGAGGTTAGGAATCCACATGGGTCTTTACACAGCCTAAGGATACGAATCCACACGGATCCCTACTCAACCTAAGGATAGGAATCCACATTGGTCCCTACTCAGCCTATGTAAGTGCTGAACCACTGAGTTACATCCCAGCTTAGCCTCTTAGTTTTGGGTTTGTCCACTCAGTTGTTCCTTCTTGATCCAACCTGGTCTTACAGCTCCCAGAACCTCTACTCAGCAACAGAGCTTCAAAGTTCCTTCAAGGGCAGAACGGTGTTTGTCATTGAGTTACTATTCATCTATCAGCAGCAAGCGTCAAGGCTAGCCCACTTGCCTTACACGCACAATTAGATTTCATATCTGCTGGTTTCACATCTGTTCGTCCAGCCAATCACAGATCAAAATGGTTTTTAAAATATTGTGTCTGTTCCAAACATGTACAGACATTCCTTGTTATCAGCCTTGTTTATTTACTTACACAGATTTACACTGTGTTGGATATTAAATGGTCTAAAGGGGTTGAAAGTGTAGCTAGGATGTGTGTGGCTCTATGAAAAGGCTTCACTAGTTTATAAAGGAATTTGAGCATCCATGAAGTGTGCCCTTTATAGGAGGTCCTGGGCCTGACCCTTTCTTAACAAAGGAATGACTGTGCTCCCTGTAGTAGGCTGGAGAGGTGTTTGTAAGGCACCACAAAACTTAAAATTTTTTTTTCAAGAATAGCTAGTGAGTAAATTTATTTTGTCATGACTAGGATAATTTGGAAGTGAAAGTGGCATTATTAATGAGCAAGTATTAATCAGGAAATGTCCTAGGCTAACCAAGACCTCACTCCTCACTCGGCACTAACCCATAGCTTCTCTCATTGTGTACCACATGTCACCATCACCAAGGGACTGAGCCCTGACTTTCACAGGGCCTGCACCCAGGCCCAGAGGATACATTTTCCTGGCCTTTCCTGTGACCAACCTTTTCCAGCGCCACACTCTGCCTCTTCCGTAGCCTCTTCCTGCCTTGCTGTTTCTTATTCAGTTGTCTTCGGTCCTGTTCACAGCTCAGCCGTCTCTAAACAAGACTCTTTCTTGAGAGGATGTGCTGAAGATCATCCTCTCCTCTTCCCACACCTTCTCCAGCTCCCCTGCAGATGCTCTGACACACATTTGGAGCTTCTATGCTCTCTGTCTCCACTTTCGCTACAGGATAGTGAGTCCGCTGGTGTTCTTGCTGTCCTGCATGATCTTCAGGAGAAAAAATTGGAAAGATCCAGATATTAGTAACTACCACGTCCTTGTTGGAACTTCTCCAGTCCCAAATGTCCTTCCATTTGTGCTGCGTGCGTGTGTGTAGACAACAAACACCCACTGAGCTATTTCTTGAGCCTAAAATCTATTTTCTTAACATCCTTGTCTGTATTTGTGGCTGATTTCTGCTTGATGCCCAAGGTATCTTCCTCAAAAGTTTGTTGTTCTTCCTGTACCAGGTTCCCGGGTTTTTTAAAAAAAGGTGAAGATGTGTATGACTGAGACACAGCCTAAGCACTCACTGTCTAAAAACATACTTCACTTTCTGAATTAGTAAAATAAAAGACCACCTTTCAAGGAAATATTGACTGGTTTAAAACAAAGTTATTTCTCAATGGAAGCAGGGTGTCTTGTAAACTGTGTTCTGGAAAAGTTTTAAAATCAGAATTAAGTCAAGGAAGGAAACAAAGTAAACACCTAAACAATGATGTCATAAGAACTTGTGCTTTGGATTACAGTTGTCACAACTAAAATTTCCTGCATCATGTGGATTGTAGTCTTAGTGTTATACATATATATGTGAACATTATGTATTGTATTAATATATATTACATATGTAAATAATGCATTCATATGGATAAACTGTTTTTAGTATTCTTGACAATTTCATGGTGAGATAATGCTTCAACTGCATAAAATACTCTTTAATGTGAGCTTAGGTTTTTACATCCAATGTCTTTAGATAATTTCATTAGCTTAAAAAAAAATTTTTAATCATGGTATTTGTATTCACACCTGAGAAAAGCCTAGAGTGTGCTATTAGCTATTAACAGCTTTCCTTTCCTCTTCTTAGACGTATAAAGCCTTCCTGCCTGCTATGATTACTAACAACCATGGTCATTTGGTTTGCATTTCAAGTTCAGCTGGACTAATTGGAGTAAATGGGCTGGCAGGTAAGAGAATTCCTGACAACCTTAACTTGCAGAATCCCACTAAGTCTCTGCCATTCACTCCATGTCCTCATAATAAAAACACCAATGAACTAAAGGTCTGATCAATAAGGGAAGTGAGAATTTGTGTGGCAGAACCTCTGTCACACAGACTAACATCAACCTAGACCATGTGCTTTGGGCCATGTGGTCTCGTGCAGCCCGCTATATTTAAGGGAGAATGGAGACAAGGAGGGAGGAAGAAAACTCACCAGCACAGTTGTGTGAGCAGAGATCAAATTCACTGGGCACATGTGGAGGATGCTAAGAAGACCACCAGCCTTCTCCTGAACTTCCATTAGGTGGTCCCTAGTTGTGAACCTACAGAATATGGAAAGTAATGGAACCTCTTCACTTTTCCACTGGCTGGATGCCTGCACTGTGTGTCATTATCACCTCTCTTCCCACACCTCACTTCTTTGATAATCCCAGTTGGCAGGTGACAAAGAGATACACAATAAGGGCTAACTTGGGACACTCGCCTTCTCCAGGAGTCTGGTTTTAAATTGTTACATTGACATTATCTGCACCTGTGTGCAAATTGCTAGGGGTTTGTTTAAAAGCCTGCTTGACTGGTATAATCATGGCATTTTCTCAACTGAGGCTCCCTCCTCTTCAATAACTCGAGCTGTGTCAAGCTTACTTAAGACTAGCCAGCACAATGCAACTGCTAAAAGTTGGTGCTAATGATCAGCTGAGCTATTGGAAAGACAAAGGCAAACCTGCTCAGTCCAAGGTTGTCATTCATCTTTGAACCATAAAGAACTCAGTACTGAGCTGCATGGTGACATAAAATGCAAGGGCCGCGCAGGCTTGGACATTTCAGCTCGCTCTCTCTCTTCCAGACTATTGTGCGAGTAAATTCGCAGCCTTTGGATTCGCTGAATCTATGTTCATCGAAACATTTGCCCAAAACCAAAAGGGGATCAAAACTACAATTGTGTGCCCATTCTTTATAAAAACTGGAATGTTTGAAGGTTGCACGACTAAGTAAGTATGCCTTTTGATTTTGAAGGCATTTAAATTGACTTTCTGCCCATCCAATTTTATTCTTTTCTTGGAGCTGCTTGGGTCTTTTTGTAAAGTATTTTCTGACCCATGAGTGGTTTCAGAATTGTCTCTCACGTGTGTGTTAAAGGGGTTGGTTGATACATGTGGTTTATCATCAGCATCCAACTGGTACCCATTCTGTGGTCCCTGATCTGCTCCTCTGCTTGCTGTCTAGGACAAAGTTCCTCTCTGCCACCCAGTGCCATTCAGAGAACTTCACTGAGCCTAGGCAAACCAGAAGCCACTGAAGGAAAACAGCCTGGTGGAATCCTTAAAATCACTCTACCTGACTAGATTAATGTCAGAATTGTGGTTTGACTACAGACAGGTCCTACTCATAGCACTATGGGCTATAAGTTCAAGAGCCAGTATGGAGTGAGGCGTATAGCCACCTTCTTCTTGTCAGACCTTGTTTACCAAGAGAAAAGGAGAGGGGAGGACAGAAGGAAGGTCCATGTCCGCTGTGGCAATTCCCATAAGGGCACTAATCTTATTCGCAGCGGCCCCACTCTCCAATTCCTGATCCAGATGCATCATGCGGTGATTGGGCTTAAGGGTAAATGTGGGGGAACACGTTCACACCCTTACAGACACAAATACCCAGTTTGTTCCCACTAACTCACTTCACTCTCACACCATTCAATAAAGTTCTATTTGGAGGACTGATTGTAAAATCAATCTATCAATTGCAATGAGTTTCCATTCCACATTATACTTGTGCTATTAGTATTTGGACAATAAGTGAGTAAATATAGAAATAGATGGGGATTGAGAGAGAAGGGGAATGACAATGTCTTATACATTCTTTATCCCTAACCTTAAGGAATGATTATTTTATTTATTTGATTTTTTTTTCTGTCCTCAGGTGTCCTACTTTGTTACCAATTTTGGACCCAGATTATGCAGTCAGAAAAATAGTACAAGCTATTCTGCAGGAGAAGCTATACTTGTATATTCCAAAGTTTTTATACTTCATTATGTTCTTAAAAAGGTAATGGTATCTGCTTCTATGTCTTCCCGTGTGCCAATCACCAGATTATGCCAGGTCCTACCAGGAAGAACCATCCAGAAAATACTTGTTAAATTAATGGATTTTAAAAGGAACATCTTCTCCATACTGATTTTCCTCTCCATGACCCTTTATTGACACAACCTCAAATGTATTCAGTTGCAGTGCCCACCGCCAGGATTAGAGAGACCCTCTCTAACAATTTAAAAGAAGGAAGGAAGGAAGGAAGGAAAAGAGAGTGGGTGAGAGGGATGAAAGAACAGAGGAAGGAAGGAGGAAATAAATGAAGGAAGAAAAGGGAAGGGTGGAAAAAATGAAAGGAAGAAAGGCAGGAAGGAAGGCGGGAGAGAAGGAAGGAAAAGAGAGCTTTGCTGATTACTCCCTGTGGGCTGAAATCCAGCAGCAACAACTTGGGATCTCTGGCATAAGTGCAGGCTGCTGCTAACATGCTGACTCTGCTGTTCCTTCCCAGTTTCTCAGTTCTGTTTCAGTGATGCCTCGTGTGTGTGTGTGTGTGTGTGTGTGTGTGTGTGTGTGTGTGTGTGTGTGTGTGTCTCCGGACAGGGACCACCCCTTCACAAAGAACACATTCCATGCCAGCCAGCACTTTCTGTTGAGTTGAATTGGTCTTCTGTGTCCCTATTCCTTCTCTCTTGGTCCACCAGTTCTGAACACAGCTCTACTCCCTAGGACAATGACAGTCTTCAAATGTTTGAGCATAGGTATTAGTCTTCAAGTTCGTCACACAGCTAACAGTCACAGACCTGCTTTTTCCCATTACTAATTATATCTTCTTTGTGCACTGAACCAGAAATCATTCTTACACCCCTGCCCTTTCCACACTTCCTCTGCCGCAGGAGGGATCCCTGTGGCTGGTGGGCTGTGGGGGTCTTGGAGTAGCAATTGAAACCCAAGGTTATAACCATGCTCTTTATCAAGCCTGTAATTCTTACATGCCCTGTGTTCTCCAGGTCTCACTTGCCTTGTTCACAATGATAGTGTTTGGCAGTGCACACAGATTAGCATAATGTCTGGTTATTGGACAGTATGTGTCCCCACAGCTCAGTGGGTATGTCCTGTGTAGTAACAGACTGTGCTATGACAACTCTAAGAACACGAAGCCTCGTTTTTAACTCTGAATAATTGTAGAAGCTATATCACTTTAACAGCATATCCGTTCTAGGACATGTTTTGGGAAGGGTCTAGATCACTCTTAAGAAGTGGAAGGAAAATAAGCATGCTCAATGAGAGAAATTACATTAAACACTCCTTCAAACAAGGGGAAAGCAGTGTGTGAACCAGGCACGGCTCACCATAGAAAAGAACAAAACACAAAGCAGCCCCTATCATGGTAGAAATTGTCTTCTCAGGGATAGATGTCAGGTGAGAAAACAAAAGGAGATGGAAAGTTGGCCAGGTGGGCAGGCTGTCTCATACCTCTGACACTAGCGTTAGTGAACGGCTGAGTTTGCAGCCATCCTGTGCTGCATAGTGCGATCCTGTCTCGAGACCCTCACTCACCCCTGCCAAAAGAAGCTACCCTGGGCATCATAAGTACTGCGCATAAATATTAAGCCAGAAAAGGGAATCTCAGAGCTGCAGTGATAAAGGGAAGCAAGTGGAGATTTAGGTGCTGATGGAAATCGTGGAGGGCATAAACCACTTGGAGGCCTCCATGTGTCTAACAGGAGTGGGAACACAGATCCTTTCCCTCACTCTACCCCTCAAACAAATCTCAGGTTTTCTGCACCTGCTTGTCAATTTACTCACTCTGAAATGGTAGGTGTCAAGGTCAACAGGGGCAGAGTGCCGGATGTGGTCAGGGGTATCTTGTGGGTCTTCTCAGGCGCAGATGGGGATGGAAGGGATAAGCATCTTAGCTTGGCTGGCCATCTGCAGGAGGATCAGTTGCATTTCATCCTCACTGTGGCCTCAGGAAGAAGGATGCCCTCAGTTTATATCTAAGGATATGGAAGTATACAAGCTGGTAAGTTGCCTAAACTGGTATTGAAAGTGCCAAAGCTAATCTGCAGGCATATCTGCCTCCTCCAAACATGCTGACAATGCCAGTTCTCCAACGTACATCTTTAGAGCACACTAAATTGGTGGTATTTTGGAGAGCAGAGTAAGTGAGCTGAATGTCGTAAGCAGTGCAGGAGACCTCTGAGCCCAAGCCTTAGTCATCAGTGAGTGACCAATGGCTTGATCTGTAAAAGCGACAGTCTTCAGCTGATCTAGCCATGATGTTTTCACAGCTGATGGCCAAAAACACTTATTCTTGTGTTCTTTTCAGCTTCTTGCCTATCGAGACAGGAATGCTTATAGCTGACTATCTGGGAGTCTTTCATGTGATGGATGGCTTCACTGGCCAAAAGAAGAAAGTTCAAAGTTAAGTTCCATGCCCAGACGTCATCTGATCCCCATTGCTCCAGCAGGCTTCTTTCAAAGAAGAAAGGTATTTCTGTTTGACCAAACCCACAGACAGGTAGCACCCATGTTCTTCTATGAACCAGAATGCCCGCCCAGTGTCATTTAAATGCAATGCTACTGTTTTCTTTTTTGTTGAATACTGTTGTTGTTTGTTGTTGGAAAAATAAAGAATAGCCCTTTTGTCATTTCCATTTCAACAACCGTATCAGTGAAACCATGTACACACAAACAGCAAAAGTGGACTCAGAGAGTTCTATTTATACATACATTCATGCATGCACATGTATGAAACAAATATAACCAAAGAAAATGAGGCTGTCTATATGAGGGGTGGTGTAAGAAGAAGCTGGAGGGAGAGTAACTGGGAAGGGCTAGAGGAAGACGAAGCATTGGGGGGGGGTGTTTCAATTACATTCTATACCCATTAAAAACATTTTAAAATAAAACAGAAATTTCAATTAAAGGAGAGCTGCCCTGAGTATGGTGACTCCTATGGGGCAGGTGGTTGTGGTTGAACTTTTGTGGGCCCAAAGAGGCTTAATGAGTGTCTTGCTGCAAGACACAAAATCCGGGCCACTAGTGTGCAAGGGGCCTGTTGTTTCAGTTGTTTCCTATGCTGTGACAGAACCCATGACAAAGGTAGCTTGGAGAAGAGAGCATTCATTCTGACTCAGTTAGAAAGGACAGTCCCCAGTGTGGGGGAGTTGTACCTGGAAGTCATGGAGCAGAAATGAAAGCTGGTGCCCACATAGCCCCAGACCGTTCATGCAGCCCATGCACTGGGGCCCCACACACAGTGGGTCTTCCTACCTAGCTTACCTACCCCGGGTAACCCTCACAGACAGAGGAAGCTCTCATAGTTGGTTGGGTCCTGTCAGATTGGTAGCATTAAGCATCCCAGTCCACAAGGCCCCAACCAGTGCTGCTTGTTAGATGAACACCTATCAGACACACACACACACACACACACACACACACACACACGGCACCAGGGATTTACTGGTGGTGACGTTAGTCCAGACTCTCGGATGGGGTCACATTTTTACCCAAGGTGAGATCAAAACCTGCGTGTTTCTTACTTTGAAAATGAAATTCTACTGAGTTGGTTTGTTATTACTAACTGATCCGAAGGCCACACCCAGGGTTGATTCCCCTGTTTAACTTAGTAATTCAAGCCGAGATTCACAGTTAGCTGTTTTTCACAGAGTGAACAATTTCATTCATCTGTATTCATCAGAGGCACCCTTGCCTCCACGCTACTGTGTTCTTGAGGTCTAATCAACTGGCAAACTGCTTTCATGCTTTGTAATTTAACGATAAAAGCAAGATTAAGAAACACATGTTAATTACCATATCCCAGCAACTCATTCCCAAGCTGCTGGAGCATCCCCCCTGTGGGCGACATGGGTTCTTTTTGTGACTTGCCTCTGATGGAGCTGGAAGGGTACGTTATCTTAGCAGACTCTGTAAAAGCCGAGAGAACCCAGAATTTAAGTTTCTTCTGGGTGAGATGCTCTTTGAGGTCAGTTAGGTCCAGGGACACTGCAGACTGGATGCTCTCGCATGTCCTTCCTGATCCTAGAACATGGTTCTGTTCCTGTACATTCAACCTCAAATACCATGTCGTGACAGCAATGATGACTAACATCTATTATGTCCAGCACTAAGATAAATGCTTCCCACACATCATTTCATTAAATAAAACCACTCCATCGAGCCCCAAAGAATGAAAAAGGGGATTTAGTGTATGCCAAAGAATACAAAGCACTTCATTTCTCACAGCCATCCTCCACCACTGTGGATGTGTAGTGAGATGATCAAAGACCCCTCAGACCAACCAACTGATGGTGTAAATCCTTGGCTAACAAGGTTAATTAGGAGAGAGGCACAATATTGCTCCTATACTGCAATTCTAAGAGCATGTATTCTGGGGCCTGTCTATTTAGTTGAAGGATAAAGAAGAGGCTCTTGGGGAATTCAGCAGAACAAAGGTCCAAGACTGAGTGGGCACCCACCACATCATAACAGCATTAACAGCAATTACTTCTAATTGGAGTGCATCTCAGCTGGGCTGCTACAAAGGTCTGAAATTCAATTGTGGTTTTATAATACCCATAAAATTGTCTAAACACATTCAGATTAACTTGAGGCACTTCTATGAGAAGAGACCACATGTAAATTAGAGGATTCTAGAGGGTGATAAATAACCAGGTGATTTAATGGCCCTAGAGAGCAAGTGTTCCCAGCATACTTCATACCAGTCTCTAGCTGAAACTTAGTCCTAATAAAGCCATGATCAAGAGCCAAGCACCTAAACAAGCCTGAAGAAACAGCGGCTACAAACTATGCTGAGTGCGCTAGACAGGCCACTCTGTCTTCTGAGGCATGTTATCCAGCATTTGGGATACTTGCTGCTCAAAAGCCAAGAGGAATCCTCTAATAAAAAGTAATTTGACTGACTATACATGTGGTCTTTTCGATGTACGGGTGGTTTAATATTATGATGCTATCTTTAGTTGGTTTGAGTGGCCACAATAAAACACCAATAGACTGAGTGGCTTATACAGCAGAAATTCATTCCTCAGTTTGGAAACTAGAAGTATAGAATGGGGGTGCCAGCTAATTTATTTTCCTGTGAGGGTTGTCTTCCTGACATTCAGATGGCCAGCTTTTCACTATGTCCTCATGGAGCCTTTTCTTCATGTGTGTGGAAAGAGAGATTTTTCACCTTCCTATAAGTAGAAGTACTCCACCCAGAGAGCCCATCCTCATGTCCTCCTGGAATCACGTGACACACACAGCCTCATCTTGTGGCATCACATTGGAAGGTAGAGCTTCAACTTGGGGACAAGCACTATAGGTGCCAAGATAGAAAAGTTTATGCCTGATGTCAGAGGCCTGGTGCTAAAATCGCCACACCACATCCAGTGCAGCCTTGCGAGTGGAATCTGAGAAACTTTTTTAAAGACCGATTTCATCTTCTGAAAGTCAGAACTTGAGAAAAGCACGATAGAATATTTGGGCCACTAAACAAAGCCTGCTATGGGGCAGGACATGCTGAATGGCAGCCTCAGCCCTCTTCACACTTATAGGCTAGGGACAGGCCATGCGTGTTTGAAGCATCGCTTCCTGGCTACTGGATGATATCCTGATACTGTCATTGTCAATGCCACCACTGGGCTGTTGAGGACGGATTCCAATCTGTATTCTTTATTTTTCTTATAACCTGGTTACCGTGATGGGAAACAAGCCAGTAAGTGCACCGGCCACTGCTGCTCATCCTTTTGGGGGTGGTTGCTTGTGAGGGTGGACATGGAGAAGGCCCTGTCCACACAGCATCAGTCCCTGGACATCTTTACATCCACACAAACTGAAGCCTTGACAGCAAAGGTATTAGGCAGATCGTGTCTGTGCCGTTAGTTATTACATCAACTTCTAGGGTCACGTTGCCGTGCTTAGTCTTTTCCTTTGCCATCAGTAAAGCTTAAAGTCACACTGACACTACAGAGCCTAGAGGCCAGCTGCCCACTTCTACAGGATTCGGATTGGCTTGTCTTCTCCTTCCCCAAAGTACTCTTTCAGACCTTTTTCTTCCTCAAACTGAATCGGTGCCATCACCTTCTCTTCCTCAAGGATGTCAGTCTCTCCTACCTCATCAAGAACGCTGATGCTGAAAAGTATAAACCCCCTCAGTTCTTCGAACCAACACCTCCAAGGCATTGTTCTCTCCATACCCCACACATGCTACTTTTCCTCAGCCCCCAGAGGAACCAGAGCACCTATTCCCGGCTCCTGCCTGGGCAGTGGTCCCTACCTTCAGTGTTCCATCAGAGATTTCACTTTCCCATCGCAAGCAAATTGTTCCCTCCTGTCCTCCGAACACCCTGCGGAGGGTATGCACCACAAGAATCCCACCACAACAGCAGCATTCTCTCCTTTCCATTACTAACATCATTTACAGTGGACCCCGCCTTTACAGGTATCCGTCCTCACCTCACACTGACTCCTAAGCCGCTTCCATGTCTTGGGGGATTTTATGAAAAGATCTTCAAGGGTTGAGTTCTGAATCAAACATTACTTCCCACAGTGACACCACTCATCTCTCAGTCCTTGGTCCTGGTGTACCCTCTAGCCAACGGTCTCTTTAACTGCTCACTCTTTACTGGGTGTTCCTCAGAGTTCAGGACTTCACACTTGACCATCCAATACAGAAACCCAAGTGAATGCTCTGCCTTTCCTTTTATTTATCCCGTTGTCCATCCAGCTGGGCCACGCTCCCCCCAACTCTGGCAGCAGCTCTCCTCACCACTCCAGCTGCTACTAATGAGTTCAGGCTCTCATAAGTAGCTCCCTGTTGGTCCTGTTGGCCAGTCTCCATATCCAGGCTTGCTCATTCTTACTGAATAGGTTGGTTGACATAATTAAGGACCCCAACGTGACAAGAGCTTGAAGAAAGAAGGCAAGTACTGCTCTCTGATGGTTAAATGTCCATAGCTGTGATGGGGCGAGGGGGGCTCCATTTTCTGCTTGGCATTCCTCTTGGTACCCACTAACCACTTGTCTCTGACTCCAGTCCCCAGAAGATAAGTTCCAAGTAACCGTGACTCAGTGACCTTCCACCCAGAAATGTACAGCTGTGACCACCTCCTTGTTATGTTATGACTAACTGCTTTTTTGGTTTCTATAACCTGCTTATGCAGATATTCAGGTGGCCTTGACTACCCAATCTTGGCAGAGCAAAACTACTCTTGGCTTGTTTGTGTAGATACCGGTTTTCACCTTTTAAAAATCCTTCCCCTCACTGCCTTTCTCAAGTCTGGCACTGAGATTGTTGTCCTGCTACCAGCTGGTCAATAAATCTTTTGATTATAGTTGAATTGCATCTATGGTCTTTTCCCATGGGTCAGAAGCTCTATAACATTTGGAGGGCCCCAGCAAGATCCCTGGGAGACATCAGACTCTGGGCCGATCTGATATCCCTGGTGGACTTGGAAGTCCAAGAAGCCCAAGACCATGGTTTCCATAAATCAAAGGAGCTAGATAGAACCCCTGAGGAAGAAAGCCCAAGGGAACTTGATAGGCCCCAGTAAGTCCAGACTGCAACTGCCCCAAATTTGCA